TTACTTCCCTTGATCTAGAAACTATACTTCTATTAATGTAGCCTAGAATCACATATGAAATCATCTTTGCTATAAATTAAGTTAAAAGCCAAAAACAACAGCAGGCACAGCCTGGTTCATAATGATACCCTTTCGGACTTGAATGTACGGTAAATGTTTTGGCCTTTGGTTCGCTCGTATGAGGGCAGGCGATAGACTTGTGCTTCAGATTTCTCCCCCTTCAATACAATCTCATCTTCGTGGCCATTAAAGGATATCTCCCACTTCCCCCTCTCATTCACCCGCGGCAATGATGCACTGAGATAATGACAATCGCATCTCTACAGCTCACATTAGCAGTGCAGACACCTCATTGGCACCATAATAACCATGGTTTTGTCGCAAATGATATTTTGTTACTGAAATCTGCCATCGTTAATGGCACTAGTAGGGGAAACAATAAATGGACTGCAAGAGGAAAAATCACGGAAGTCATCCCCACCACTTTGAAATGAATATACAATGCTTTATACAATGACATGTATAAAGCAATGAACAGCCTTGGAAGCTGACAATTTAATCACTGTAGCAGAGAAGAGAGGTTTAATCTATCAAGTCATTGACTGGAAAAGCATACAGCAGCGGCTTGCATCCATAATCAAGCCTGAACTCTTTTAGAGGCTGTTTGTCTTTGTGTTTGTCTTGGCCCTCCACATCTGCGGCTTTGACTGCATCCGCAATGCAACAATAAACCAGTTCGACAACACAACACTGCCATGGCTCAATGTTATGGAATTCCCAGAATTCTGTAGCATTTGGCCATGGCAGTTAAAGTGGCGTCAGACCACATTATTTCCAGATTATTGTGATCTGAGTGTCACCGCTGATTTTGATGCATCAGCCAGAGCCAAAGAGAGTGCAAATGAGCCTTTAAGTCAAGTATGGGAAATGTGTGGCCTTCCAGATGAAGCTGGACTACAATTCCCATCAGTGGTGGCTAATGGGTCTAAATGCCAGTGAGACAATCAATCTGCTCTGGACCTTAATCTGACTTTAACAGCACCGTCCAAGGCATTGAGTCAATTTTGGCAATCAGACCCAAAAGTTCAGAGTAACAGCTGGAGCAGATCAACAAGAAGCCGCTGATCAGGAAGCCACCCCCCACCACTGGCTTCCCTAATTATCAACCATTGCTGACTGGGAACAATGGGAGATAGAGTCTAATAATACTTGAAAGGCCATATGTTCCCCAACCCTGCCTTGAATCAACAATGCAATGTAGTAGTTCTGCAATGGTTCCCAAACTTTGGTCTTCCAGATGCCTTGGACTTCAGCTCCCAGAATTCCTGACCTTTGGCCAAGCTGGCTAGGGCTTCTGGGAGCTGAAGTCCAAAACACCCAGAAGACTAAAGTTTGGGAATCATTCAGTTAGAGTGATGGATCTAAGAGCTGGAAGACCCAGGAGGAAGTCTCGACAGAACCTTGAAACATGCTGGATGATCTTGAGCCAATTCTCTCTCAGCCTGACCTACCTCACAGGACTGTTGTGAGAATAAAGTAGGAAGAGGAGTCATGCATGCTTCCTTGAGCTCACTGTTAATACAAACACTACTAAATTGTTCATCATGCTCCCCATCTTCTTCCCTTCTGCTCCTCCTCCTCATCATAAAGAGCAGAGATGAGAACGATGTGGCCATCCCAGTCTTGTTGGACTTCAATTCCCAGCAGCCCTGGCCATGGTCGCAGCTCAGCCACATCTGGAGGGTTGCCATGATATCAACCCAGCAGTAGAGGATGTAATAAACAGTCCCTGTTGTGCCAGCAGAGTGGTAACAAGTTGGAACAGATCGCATGGATCATCATGGACAAATAATCGATTTAAATACTAAATACTTTCCAAATTCCTGGGTGCTGAGCAATAGCCACCCACCCCTTGTGTACTGAATTCTGATTAGGGGCCCTTTCACAGTGGAAAATTATAGCACTATAGGTGCAACTACACTGTAGAAATAATGCTGTTTGACACCTCTTTAAGTGCTGTAGCAGCATCCTATGGAATCCTGGGATTTGTAGTTTTACAAGGTCTTTAGCTTTCTCTGCCAAAGGGGGCTGGTGCCTCACAAAATGGCAAATCCCATAATTCTGTAGGATGGAGCCAGGACAGTTAGAGTGGTGTCAAACTGCATTATTTCTACAGTGTAGATGCACCCATAGTCATCCTGTTATAAACAATCCTCCTAAGGTCTTGCAGACTCAGGGCCAAAGCCTTTTCGGTTGGGTTTATCTATCTGTCATGCAGCCTTCCTCCTTTCCTACTGCCTTCCACTTTTACTGAACATTATCATCTTTTTCCTATGGGTCACGTTGTTTCATGGTATGTCCAAAATACAACAGTCCCAGTTTACTCATCTTGATTCCTAGGGAGAGTTCAGGCTCGATATGCTCTTGGACCCATTTATTTATCTTTTTGGCAGCCCTGCTGGTCTATAATGCCCATCAGCCCCAGTTAGTATACTCAATGTCTATACTGGCAGGTGTGATGGGAGCTGTAGTCCATCCCATTCATCTGGAGGGCATCATGTTGGAAAAGTCTGGTCCACAATGCCTAGCGATGTCTCTCCTGCTTTCTGAGGAGTTTTATCAAAGACGACTGCAGGCAAAGATCATTAAGATATGTTCTACCTCTGGATGTATGAACTGAATTATGAATAAATAAAATCAGAGGTTGGGAAGTTACTTTTTGGATGACAACTCCCAGAATCCCAGTATCTGGGAAGCATAATTCAAACATGTAACTTTCCAAGCTGGTGGGGAGGGGAGAGATAAACCAGAACTGTCCTTTACGATGTATCTATTTCATGCTCTAAAAAGCAGTGGTTCCCAAACTTTGGTCTTCCAGATGTTTTGGACGTCAGCTCCCAGAATCCCTGTCTGTTGGCCAAGCTGTCTGGGACATCTGGGTGTTGAAGTCTAAAACATCTGGAAGACCAACGTTTGCGAATTATTGCTCTAAATGTTTAGGGCAGGTGTAGGAAAAGTTCCAGATGTTGTCAGAGTTCAGCTCCTATCATCCCTAGCCAGCATAGACAATAGTGAGGAATGCTGGGAAATGAAGTCCAACTGTGCATTGACTACCCTTGTTTTCAGGCCATGCTTAAGACTTTTTTCTAAACAGTTACAAAACATGTTGGTTGGTTGCATTGTCTGCAGGGCTGTTTTCCTAGAAAAAGACAAAGGCTCAGAAAAAGAAAGATTGTATTGCAGGTACAAAAGTGCCCCGCAGCGTCAGGAAGCAAGCTCCAGCAGATCGCAAAAGCCACCTTCCCAGCTGCTAAACAAGTCTGCAAAATCTCGTTGTAACAGGTACCCTTAACCCAGCAAGTCTCCAGGAAAAAGCCACACTGAATTCCAGAAATAAGAAAGCCAACACTTTGTGGTTTCAAATGTGTATCTTTTTCTTGCAAAATAAAAACAACGCTCCTGTTGTCTCTGGTCTTTTCCATTAGGAGAGAGGGAAACATTCCTCCCTGCATGCAGAAAACTAGCAGTGCATGGATTTTTCTTCTAGCACCAAACATTAACAAGGGGGAAGTCACTGCGAACAGGAGGCTCTGGCTGACTATAGCATCTGCCAGAATCAGAAGCTACTACAAAAAGTCAGATACTTCATTGAGCGGAAGTTCTATATTAGCCTTCTTGTGAGTCAGATACTAGGGGGATCAATACACCGTACAGTGGCCCCTCCATATTCACTGGAGTTAGGGGCATAGGACCCCTGTGAAAGTTGGGGGGGACACACAAATTAAAAAAACAAAAACACTTTTATTTACCTGAGAAAACACCACTCTAGAAATCTCTAGATCCTCCAGTGCAACTGTGTGGCCAACATCTGGCAGAGGTTGACCACAGAATTGCACAGGAGGACCTACAAATGCCTAGAGAAGTGCTTTCTCTAGAAATCTAGGTCCTTCAGTGTGACTCTATGGTCAACGTTTGACATAAAATCACAGAGTTGGAAGAGACCCCAAGGGCCATCAAATCCAACCCCATTCTGCCATGCAGGAAGACACAATCCAAGCA